TAATAACGAGTTCATTATATAATTTTTGGATAATACATCTATGATAGATCATATATTTGTCGTAAAGGTTGATTAATCAATGTAACGAGATTGCATAAAAAAGAGTAATCCAGTTCGAGCTGAGCGATCCAATTAACTAAAAATACTTTTAAAGTGTGTTCCGTCATAAGGAATCATCACATATTACAAATGTTTAATCAAGAATGGACATCATTCGAACATTATGTTGTATAGAAATCATCGTGTTGGCTGGTGTCATCACTTGGATCTTATACATGTCTAATCGAACTCAAGGAATACAGATGCAAACATTCTATTGGACTAGTAATTACGTTCAACGTTTACAAAATTAAAGATGAAACTCGTCTTATACCATCGGGAAAACGAAAAGCTCTAGGCCGTCCAAAAAACGTTCGCACGGCATGGTTCCCATGATTTGTTATTAACACTATTTATTTTCTTTCTCGTAGGGAAGAGTCCAGTAAACATAAATTGTTTATTTGCTTGCTCGTCTGTCTGCAGATCAAAAAGACACTGAAGACCAGTTTCTTGGAAAACACATTTCTTGAAGTACTTCGATGCAGGGACATCAAATGAATATGTACAAATGACATTCAATCACTTTACTATGGTTATTTACACACGTATCAATACATAGATGAATGATCATAAAAGAAGTGAACAATTTTCCCATAATGAACAAATTGATATTTTCTGTTCTCGTGATAAAAGATCAATAAGTTAAATATTGAAAGATCATTGATAATTTTCTCATCATCGAAAATCAGAATTCTCACAAGAAACAACTGATTGATGTTGTAAAAAAATTGTTTGTTGAATATTAAGTCATATCATAGACATTCAGCATGGTATCGTCATGATTTTATTTCTAAATATTAAAAGAATATCCATTATACTTTGCTTTAAACTTCTTCTCTATATAACAAATAGGTTTAAAATAATACACTGTATTCATTGCGTAATTAATGAATGAAATTGAAAGTACTCTGAAAATATCGACTGCGTTTGAATTACAAATGAAGGCGAGACGATCGATGAGAAACTTTTGTTATACGATAGTTTTTAATTAAAATGGAAATCAGATGTCAGAAACATTGTACTTGACTATATCAATCCTATGATCGTATGTTAAAATAACATTATATATAAAAAAATACAAGATTTTATCAATAATTTCCAGGAAATTGGTTGTTTTGTTCATAGAATATAAAAAATTAGGAATTCTTTTTACAAGGATACGTAAATGTTCATTTCTTTGTTCTTAGTTCGATTTCTAGGTATGATATTATCATAGTAAGAAAAGTAGGACATAGATTTAATCAGGCGAAATGACATGAGTGGAACTTAATACATGAATACAAAGACTGGTTTTGGTTGTTATATTATTAATTGTAAATTAATTGTTTAGAAAAAGATGTATTCTACTTTCTTCAAGTAGAACAATTTGATATTTGCGCAGATAATGAAATCAATGAGTAACATCAATATTTAATAGAATGTGACACGTGGCGAAAGTTTTTTGTACCAGCAAATACTCACAAAATACAAAGTACTGATATTTCACTGATAAAGATAGATTTTAAATAACGTGCAATCAAGTCTTTATTTATATATGACGGGTTTTTCTTTGTAGTATATTCATTAGTGTGCCATAATCTCAAATATCGCGTTTAAAACAAAAGCTTTAAATGTATGTTATTCTCATGAGACTCTTTCCAACAGTGAAAATGAATTATTTACACACTAGAAGACTGATTAAACCACTTATTACGTATTTTAAGAATACGTGATAAGTCCTTCCGTATTCAGACTATTTGTAGACATTCATTGTCATTCATAATGAACAAGAAAGACAAAAAAAAAGAAAAAGTCGCATTATAAAATAAGTTATTTATTTTCAGAATAAACATGTGTAATTGAAAATGCACTATCCGAACAGGTTAGATTGTTCTTTTGCTCTTAATGAAAAAAAGTTCTTTTAAAGAACGATTATTCATTATGCTTAAATATACAAATGGCGATAAAATAACAGATAATTTAGCAGTGAATGCGCTCAATGTAATAAAATATCCATATTGAAAAATAAATTTAACGTGAAATATTTGTAATATTGCAATTATTGAATAAGGTGTCCAAGCAAATAAATATGCGCTAACAAGAAATATAATTGCTTGAATAAAACGGTATTGCGTTCTTAAACGTTTTCGATCTGCTGCTTTACGCATAAAAAATATTGTAATATTTGAATCATAATCAAATTCTTTGCAACAACTATGCTGTTGTACATTTGGTAATATCGAACTCATATTTTGATATGAATATATATTTCGTACAATTTGATTTACACGTAAATTTACAATAAAAAGAATAATCAATGGAATTAAATATATACCAATAAAAGATAAAACAATATAAAAATGACTTGTAAGTGTATGATTATTCCAATCAACACTGCAGTGAAATCCTAAACCTTCTGGAGTGTAAGATGTCCAGTAACCGAAAACAGGTGGTAGGGTCCAACCTATACTTAAAATCCAACAAATTATAGCTGAATAAGTACAGAATAATGGTTGATTATGTTCACATAGTAATATATAACGATTTATAGATAAAAGCATATATACTAACATACATAAAGTGCCGGATAAATATGAAATAAAACCTTCTAAACGACAATAAATATCAGTACAATGTCGTTGACAAGTAAATAATTGTAATAGTACACCTGGAATAGTTACAGTTAAAATTAAAGATGATGCTAAGAATAAAGAAAGTACAAGAGCATTTTGCTGTGGTTTTTTTCGACATCGAATAAAATAACGAATATTGAATATAAAACAAAATATTGAAATAATCAATAGAATTGTACCTCCTATACGACATAAAATACACGGTAAATTCCAGGCAAAAATTGGAACAGCATGTATTTGATGAAGACAAGGCCATAACGATACGTCAGTTATGTTAGATAACATTTAATGATATGTAATCTAGTATTCGAATGATAATCTATTGTGTTGAGCGAACAAATATTTGTCAATGTTTTCTATTGCTGTTATAGAAAGTAGTGACATTAGAAAAAAAGAAACTGTGAACATTACAACGAGAATATTTTTCTTTCTTTTTCTTTACGTCTATCTGTGATGATTATGAATAGTATATAAATAATAGAAAAATCTTTATAAATTCTAGAATATTTCGAGCTAACTAACCAGAGTACTGTTATGTTAAACAGATGCTCGTGAAGTTAAGAATAATCATATAAATATTAGAAAATGTATAGTGCAATATGTTTATTTATAGTTAAATTTGCATAGATCAAATAATGACCTCATATTCTATCCGTCCATTTTTTTGTCAAAAATCATATTTTATTTTTAAATTAACTATGAAATACACATGACAAAATATTATTGATTAGACAGTTAACGTCACATATTTTACGATTTTGAATAGCTCAATACAAATACTTTCACTAATGATGACGTGCAAAAAAACTGTCTCATCTTGTTTCATTCGGTATGCAGCTATTTTCCATTGGGTTTTAAATAATATTGTATTTAAGAAACGCCTAGATATTCTTCTTTCGGATGGCATGTTCACAGTTGTTCTTCTTCAATGTTTTCATGAAGAAATCGTCGACCTACGATGAGAAATTTTCTCCGTCATTATTCGATACTGTTTCCCTAATAACGACGTTCCAGCGAAAAAGCCTAATTCATGTTTTCTTATTTAGGAGCCGTGATAAGATTCTGATGTTATTTCGAAAGATTATGTCAAAATCTATCGAAATCTAATGGTTTATGATGCGTCAACTATGTTCTAAAAAAATTCTGCCTGGAAAAACTCACCTCGTGTAGTTCGAAAAATAATGTTCCTGATAGCGAAGCCCAGCTAAGTTTTCTTCCTAATAGCTACATGTCATTGAAGAACATGTACTTTGGTGACATGTTA